CTGAAATTCAAATTACGGATGTTAAAGAAATAGAAAACGAAATTTATTAAATGTGATGAGTTTCATGAAAAATTGATTAATTGTTCATGTAAGTTGAAAGCTGCTATCAATAAATGTAAACCAAGCACACAAAGAATACAACAACAACCTATTAGCTTGTTAAAATAAGGAAAACAATTCGTTAAATTACCGTCATTAACAATAAAGAGAATATGATGTCAATCCTGCCGATTGGCAAAGATTCTGGGATCAGTTTGAATCCCTGATACACAGAAATGAAGATTTATCTAACGTAGACAAATTTAATTATTTACACTCATATTTAAATGGAGTAGCCGCAAATGCAATTAAAGGAATTACACTAACAAATCAAAATTACGAAGCAGCAAATAGAAACCTTAAAGGAAAGATTTGGACAAAAAACTTTGGTCATTAATTCTCATTTGAATAAGTTGTTAAATCTAACACCTGTTAGGAAATCGACAGACAACTCTCTGCTTCGAGAATTGTTAGATACTTGTTAAACAGAGGTTCGTAATTTAGAAGCTATAGGGGTAAATTCAGAAACTTATAGTTCTCTATTATGTTGCATATTGATTAAATTAATACTGCAAGATATTGTTCTAGAGATCACTAAAAAATGCGGAATAGATGAAGATTGGAAGGTGTCGAAAATAATTAATATTCTAAAAATAGAAGTTGAAAGCAGAGAAAAAAATGTATTTTTGACATGCAACAAATATTCAAATGAACACGAAATGAAATTTCAAACACCATTAGGGAAAACTAGAGATCCGAGTGCAAAGCTTCAAAACCGAAACTCTTTCGTGAAAGAAATTCGTAAAAGTACACCATCAGCAATGGCATTCAATATGACGCAGTCTAGATGTATTTTCTGTACTGCACCACATGATTCATTTAAATGCAAAACGTCACCGCAAAATAAAATAGAAATTTTAAGGAATACCAAACATTGTTTCAAATGTTTTAAAATGTATCACATTGGTAAAAACTGTCGTTCTAATAAACTTTCTTGTTTCAAGTGCAAAAGCAAAAGTCATCATACTTTCATTTGTCTGAGTAATAAACGAAATAATAATACTGCAACAATGAATCAAATGAATAATATTGAGAACAAATGTAAAGAATCATTGAATTTAAATTGTAATGCTAAAGATACTCAAGAGTTAAATAATTCTAATTCTGAAATTGTCAGTTCAGTTTCACAGTGTAATGCAAGTATGACATGTTCCAAAAATGTTTATTTACAAACATGTGCAGTTACTCCAAATTCAGAATTTAATTCTAAAGTAAGTAGGCTTCTACTCGATAATGGAAGTCAAAGAAGTTTCTGCACTGAACATTTAGCGAATACGCTGAAGTTAAAACCTATTCGCTATGAATTACTTTCTGTTTATTCCTTCGGAATGGAATGCGCTTCAGAAAAGAAGAATCCAGTCGTTGAATTTGAAATCAAAGCTAGACATAACACGCAGTACTCAATTAAAACCGAAACTCTCGTTATCCCAAGCATTACTGGTGCCATAATTTCACCTCTGGATAAACAAGTGTTAGAATTCATGACTAGGCATAAACTACTGCTCGCTGACTCATGCTGCGGAGATAAGTATTTGGATGTTGAAATCCTAATAGGATCCGATATATTTTGGAAATTCATCTTAGAAGAAAAAAATCACAATTAATAAACATTCAGGTGCATTAAAAACTGTCTTTGGATGGGTAAGTACAAATTCGAAATTTGGAAAAGCTGTAGCTTGTTCACAAAATATTACCGTAATAAACAACTCGATAATGAATGAGTTTTGGGGAATTAGACTCAATTGGTATTTCAAAAGAAAACGTAGACTTCTCTGTTAAAGATAAACAAATAATTGAACAATTTGAAAACTCTATATCCTTTGATAAGGGAAGATATCAAACGAAATTACTTTGGAAATCTAACCTTGATGAATTAAATAATAATTTTTATATTGCAAAGAAGCGTTTTGAGATTTTGAGAGATAGACTGGAGAGGGATGTAGAAATGCGTAAAGAATACACAAAAATAATTAAAGATCAACTCGATGACAAAATTATTGAAGTATATCAAAATAAAGATTTTGAATCAGGTTATTATATGCCCCATAGAGCAGTCATAAGACCAGATAAAGAAACTTCTAGTGTTAGAATTGTTTTCGATGCGTCATGCAAAGGAGAAAATACTACATCCTTAAATGATTTGTTACAGGTTGGACCTAATTTAAATCTTAACATATTAGATGTTATTCTTAAATTTCGAGAACATGATATCGCTTTTTCTGCTGATATAGAAAAGGCATTTCTAATGATAAGTATTGCCGAGGAAGATCGCAAATATTTAAAATTTCTTTGGTTTCAGAATGACAACAAAGAATCGTTCAAAATTATGAACATGACACGTTTACCATATGGTATTAATACCAGTCCATTTATTCTAGCAGCCACGATAAAGCACCATATTAAAAAAATACATCACTAAAAATCCTGAAAGTTATGAAATGTTAAATTCATCTTTTTTATGTCGATGATTTGTATTATGGAACGAGTACAGTAGAAAAGGCCTACCAATTGTCATCTGATGCAGTTATGATTTTAAAACATGCAAATATGAACCTACGTAAATTTAATTCCAATTCTAAGGAGTTAAAAGACATGTGGTTAAAAAACGGTTTATCAATGAATGATTCCTTTGCACAAGCTAAAATTTTAGGTCTTGATTGGGATACAGAAAATGACACTATTAAACTAGATTTAAAATCTTTAGAATTATCTTCAACTAGTTGTGTGTTATATACTAAAAAGAACAGTATTACAAGTTACTGCTAAAATTTATGATCCAACTGGATTTATATCACCATTCGTGATCAGAATTAAAATCCTACTACAGCTGATATGGGTAAAGGGTCTTGATTGGGAAGAACAGCTTCCAAATGATATTGAAACTGAATTTAAGAAATGGCTTGTAGAAATAATACATTTACAAGAAATATCAATAGATAGAAAATACTTTCGAGATGTTCATAAGCAAAATAGTGACATTTCACTACACATATTCTGCGATGCATGTAATAACGCATATGGATGTGTAGTATATTTCAGATATACAAATAAGTTTGGTGAAATCAAAACGAGTTTCATTTTATCAAGGACCAGAGTAGCTCCTCTATTTTGTGTTCGCAAAGCCAAAATGGATTTCTTCACACCTGAAGTTAAGGCTCTTCAATCTAACAAGTCAATTGCTCCAAGCTCTAATATATTCAGCTTGGCACCATTTCTTGATGAAAATAAAATTGTTCGAATTAAGGGAAGATTAGAAGAAACCGAATATTCAGTTTGACGATAAACATCCAGTTCTTCTTCCTAAAGATTCCAAATTTACTGAATTAATTGTAAAAAGGGAACATAATAACAATCTGCATGTGGGAGTTGCAGCATTTTTAGCCAAATTACAACAGAAATTTTGGATTCCTAAAGGCCATCAGTTGGTAAAGAAAGTCTTAGGAAACTGTTTAATTTGTCGAAAATATGCAGTAAAACCAGCAAAACGAATGACAGCTCAGTTACCTAAAGACCAAATTTTGAAACTCCACCTTTCTATGTTACAGGCGTAGATTTCACAAGTCCAGTTTACATAAAGTCTGGAAACAACATTCAGAAATCATGCATCGTATTGTTTATGTGCGCTGTTACACGAGCGTTACATCTAGAACTCATTTCCAATATGTCTGCAAACAATTCGTTTTGGCTCTCTAACGTTTCATTTTGAGAAGCGGAAACTGTCGCACCTTTTATTCAGACAATGCAAAAACTTTCAAATATGCTGCCAAAGATTTACAGTATTTTTACAGCATACTTAAAGGTGCAGACTTTCAAAATTTTCTAGCAAATGGAGGTTTGACTTGGAAATTTATCGTCGAGCTTGCTCAATGGTGGGGAGCTTTTTATGAACGCCTTATGAAAACCATAAAGGAACCATTGAAAAAGATATTAGGTAGAGCTCAAACGAAGTTTGAAAAATTTATGGCTGTGTTGACAGAGGTCGAAAATATTGTGAATAGACATCCTTTGACTTACGTTTACGACGATTTACATGAACCTGAACAGCTTTCGCCAGCTGATTTTCTATTGATTGGACATAAAGATGAATATACATACAACTTTGCTGAGATCCTGAATAGCTCTCCAACAAGGAAGAGTCTAATAAAATGAAAAGAATATCAGACAACACTTCTAAAACAGTTCTGGAAAAAATGGAAAAATCATTATTCTTCCAGTTAGATTTTAGGCATCTACGCATGCACAATAAATAAATGTTTTTTTATCAGTTTTACAACATTAATTTTGGATTTTAGACAATGGAAGCCTCTCCAACATCAAAAACTATGAATATTTGGATCAAGGTAAGAAATTTACCTTCATTTTTATTGCTTTAAATTGTATTTTGTTTAATTTTTTATTGTACATCAAACAGCTCTTCTTGTACGAATGAAAGAATTATGAGTGATCTTGAATTGCTAACATTTAGATGAAAAAAAAATATGCATGGTTTACTCTGAGCTCTTTTTTTCACAAACAAACTATAAATGATCATCATTAGCACTGCCTGCCATATAAAGATGGTTTGCATTGGTGATTTATTGATACTCTTGGCATTGTTTACAAAATGAGGGCTCTAATGCCAAGATAATAACAAAGCAATTTATGAAATAAATTTTGTATAGCATCCATGTATAGTTAACTCCAGGCTGTCCTATTTCAAGCAGGAAGAATACTAAAATTTGGCAATAGATTACCAATTATTATCAACACTATCACCTAAAATTCAGAGTATTATTATCTTTGCATCAGGATCATTGGTAGAGCTAATAGGTTTCTAGGAAATCTAAAAAACTCATGCAGAACAAGAAACATTAGGAAAAAATTTTCTTCATGATAAAATTAATTAAAATTAAGTATCTTACCTAGTTTCTTCAGCTATTTTTACTTTTTCACAGCCATCAGGTGGCTCCCTTGCCAAAAATTTGTTAATATGTGGACTGGTAGCCAATTTACTATTTCCTTCTAAATCTGGAGATACACTGTCTTTACTTTCCTCTAAAATTAAATAGTAATTTGCGATTAATCTAAATTAATCATTACAAATTACAAGGTTGCTGCGAATAAAGAATGGAAAATGAAACGATCCCATTAAAGTAAACAGGAGAAATAAGCAATATATATTAAGAACATTCATACATCTGATATAAGAAGAATGAGTTCTTTGGTACTCTACTTTGGTTCTAAATACCTTCACTTCACGGAACTATTTGGCCTAATTTAATTTGCCAGCTTGGCATCACCATTATTACTTGAGTAAAAGACGAAACACCTTCGCAATTATTAATTATTGTTCATTGAACGGGAGTTTGAAAAGTCAACTAATTTCCGATCAATAGCAATAATTACTTGCTTTTAATTTAATCTTCAAAGTTTGAAATTTTGTTATTCATGATTTACTTCAAGTCCCCGTAAAACATTTTTAACAATTTACATTCAAGTTACTTTAAAACAATTTTCGGAATCAAACTTCCTACCTATGGGTTCACTCTTTTTAGATACTTCTACTGAAATTAATATTAGGAGATAATATAATCAATATTTCTTTAGTAAATAAATTATTATTATCTTGTTTTGCAGCTATTGCGCAAGTATTAGAATAACTTGTTTCAAACTACGTGAATTTAAGATCATACAACATTATATATATACTGTATACGGTGTATTTCTTTAATTCTAAGATATACTCAATTCAATACCAGCAATAAAAGGGGAGGTAGATTTTATAAATAACTGATAGTACAAGGTACTATATATTGATTTATTGATAGTACAAGGTACTATTATATATATATACTGCATACAGTGTATTTCTTTAATTCTAAGATGTACTCAATTCAATACCAGCAATAAAAGGGGAGGTAGATTTTATAAATAATAAATAAAATAGTTGAATTAAATTAAAGCATTTATACATTAGTTAAACAAAGAAACCCATTTTTGAACAGTGATATACTTATTTATCAGCAGATGCAGTATTCATCATTTGTTCCTGAATTCATATCAGAATGCGATTTCTCTGAACTGTTTTCATATTCATAATTCCATTATGCATCTACATCACATCCATAAAATTTTTTTATTTATCGATAGTACAAGGTACTACCAAACTTTTTTAATGAACCCTATATGGAGGAGAGAACAGTTTCATATCCAGTCCTAATGTTGTAACTTTGGGTACTGCTTTACATTATTATTTCAGCTATCATATATGTTAAAATTAACAGTTAATATTCTTGTTCCATTACTTTACATGAAAATACATTAAAAAATTCCTTACTTTATTATTACTTAAGCTATCATATACGTTAAAATTAGCATTTAATATTCTTTTTCCTTTACTTTGCATGAAAATGCATAAAACAAATTGCTTACTTTGAGAAATAATTTTCGCAAATGCTATTCAAATTATTCCGAAGTTTCAATTGACAAAATATATTGATAAACTTTAAATTTAATATAAAAAATACAAGAAAGACTGTTTACAAGAAGAAGTAACAAAATCTTTCACGGTAAGTGGAAGGCAGACACTCTGACTAAATTGTCCCTATGAGAATCACTGCAAATATCACTCTCTAACTCCTTTAGAAAATCAATAATCATTCTCATCCATGTCACTAATTGGCTCATTTACCATGTGAGTATATGGAAATTAAGGATTGAATTTATATTCTTTCTCTGATAAATAATGTTCACCATAATAAACTGAAGTCAAGGCTTTCCAAAATAAAAAGTGAAGTACACAAAATATAAACAATAAAAAGCAATGTAAGGCATAATACAGCCCCACATAACAATCCTGAAATACCCCTCAATAGAAGCAAAATAAGAATTAAGAAAAGGATTCAAAGGGATGTCAGAAATGTGAATGTTTATATCACGTGGCGATTTAAGAACTCTGTTTGTTTACATTACGCTTTCTATCCTTCTTCGCAACAGCTGACGCCAACTTTATGCAGAATGTGATTGAACTGAAGGGCAGGATCCTAAAACTATATTCAGTTCAAAAATCATGGACACAGGATGACATCTAGTGATCTTTACAAAATGTTTCAGCTTAAAATGCATATATGCATCACTCATCCCTTATGTTCACATTCCAGTGATGTGTGAGTGGGACACTCGGCTGTGAGAGACATTTGTAGGGAATGCACATATGGGACACACGTTTGGAAAGGTTTAATGACGAGCAAATTAAAAGAAAATATAAAAACACTACGCAGATCAGTTTGCATTTGGAACAATAGATCCAACCCAGAATAACTATAGGTAGCAAATTAAAATAGGAAATCTATCTCAACTGATCTTGCAATCATCTAGATAGCAAAAAAGAACTATCTTAAATACTATTTATACTCTTAAGGATATATTTTAATTTCAGGACACCAAAATAAAAATATTAATTTGTGTGATCTTCACATAAACATTTACGTTTTTCAGTTTCTGTATTTAGCAACATGAAAAATGCATTTCATGTATGTGTAGGTGCTTTTGTAATGAAGTAAACAGTAAAATTTATTTTAGATAATACATTTAAAAGTAATTGTAAATAATTACTCAATGTATATGTCTTCCTACCCATTCTGAGAAAACTGCTTAAAAATGAATATGTAAGAATTTCAAATTTCTTGAGTAAAGAACTTTATTTAGAAGGTACTCTTAAATTAAGAAAACAATTTCTGTTCTTCAAGAGTTATTAAAAACTTCAGAACTAAACTACTTGTCTAATGTTTTTTGCAGGAAATCCTCATTGAAGTTTTTGGGTAAAAAGAATAGACATCATACACCACTCAGCATTCAAACTAAATGAGCAATAAACACTATTTATTGAGTTAATATTTATATTGGTATTGTATTTATAATTATTGGTGTATGGATATAATTTACTGGTGTATGCGTAATTTCCAAAATATGAAAAATACTCAATATTAATAGAAAATTCTCATTCATATACGTCACTTAAATCTATCTTGAATGTAAATTTGTAGAATGAGAGTCTGCTTTATTACCTAAATTTATTGTTTTAGGAATGAAGTATACCAGGTAATTTAAAATATGATTACTAAAAATTATTAGATCACCTACATAGTACTAAAAATCTTATAAATTGTTAATTATTGTGTTTCATAAAAATTAGACTAGAGATTAACAAACAGGAAGATAAGGAAATATAAGTCAGTATTTTTTTCATTTATAGATAAATATTATTACCACTACAAATATAATTTTTCCAGGCACGGAAAGCACAGCATTTTTTTAAAACATTCAAATCTCATTTGATCACTCATTTAAATATGTCAAAGTAAACTTCTGATATTTTTGATAGAAATTAGGTCAAATAATTGAAATCATATGCACTTATTTTTTAGATCTTTATTTCAACATACTTCAATGTGTTTATGTATTACTGTTTATAGTTATTTTGTAGATGTTATAATATATTTTCGCATTATATATATTTATTAATATAACATAATTTGTAGATGTTATAATATATTTTTATATTTGACTTTTATGTCTGGAAGAGAGTTTAGAGATACAATTACAATGATTATATTGGGTTGTTTGTTCACTCCCTTTTTCTAGATTCAAATTATAAGTGGATTTGATGTTGTACATAAAACTGTGACTATTCAAAATTTCAGCCAATAAAATCATAAACAGTTTATAAATGTGACATGCTTGTCAAGAGTAAATCATGAGGTAAAAAAATTTCGAACAGTTAAATAAGACAAAGAATGAGGAGCATATCAGACATTGTTTGTTGTGCAAATTTGATAGAGGTGTAGCACTGCATCCCTAGAATGACAAAGCATTCATCAAGTTTACAGATGATGTGTTTGACAATAGCACATATCGTCACTGGTTTCACAAATTCACAGAAATGGAGATAGAAGCTGTAGAAACTAACCACGTTCCAAATACCAGTTAGTGGTTTCTGAGTAGATTTTGGACCAAGCCATATCAAATGCCTTTCATGCAAATGGTGAGGAATTATCAAAAACACTATGCGTACTCTGAACATCAGTTTAAAGACAAATACATGGACTTGGTAAGAAGGCTGCAAAAGGCTGGATTAGTGTATTCCACATCAGCTCTAAAAAAAAGCAACAGCTGGTGAGAACCAATACCTGTCTTTTTGCATTCTCATTCCAGAAATGATCCATTTATTAAATGAATTGTGATGAGTAATGAGAAACGAATACTTAAATATAATGTCAAATGTTGAAAGATTGTGCACTGCATAGCACAGTCTGCTGCCCCCACATCAAGAAAAGGCCTGCATCCGAAAGAGGTTCTGTTAAGTGTAGAGTGGAATATGAAAAGAGTAATCCACTGAGATTAGTGCCCATGTCACCACATTAATACTGACATGTACTGCCAACAAATAGACAAACTGATACATAAGCAACCAGCACTTGTCAGTCATCAAGGCATTAGCTTTCAACAAGTAAATTCCAGACCTCATGCTGCTTTAATCACTTGTAAAATTCTGCTTGGCCTGGGTTGGTAAGTATAACATTATACATGAAATCGGCTTCTTTGGACCTGCATCTTTTTCAAATGTTACAGAGTTTTTTTTTTTTTTTGGTTTTTAAAACTTATAATAATGTGTAAGATGTGAAACAGCATTGCAAGGTTCTTTTAAATTCTAAACCAGAGCATTTTTATCAATGAGGACTTAAATCTACTACAAGGCATATGGCAAGTGATCATACTAAATAATGACAATTATACATTGCAGATAATGAAATTATCTGCATTAGATTGAAATGCATTGTGCATTACATTTTATTGCTCTTCTTTTTTTCCTAAAAGATTGGGATGAAATTTCATATCAACTCAATAATAATTGGATGAGATACTATTAAATCATAAAAGTTACAAAGAGCCAAACTAGTAACATTTTACGACTCGCTTATACATTAAAAATTAAAAATATGGATGCTATCAATTAATCTGACTTTTAAAACATCAATGTTTACATTTTAAACTTCTGTTTATGCAATCCACTTTTTACAAAATGATTTGACAGTGAAACATACTTAAAAATAAGCAATTTCTAATATCCCCCCTCCATTTGATAAATTTTGTTCTGTTTCTTATATTGTAATCCTGAAAAATGCATTAGCAAGTCTACTTCTAAATTTTCATTTCGTAAACTACATGACACAAAAAGCTAGCTCACTAATGTTATATACTGCTAAATATGAAACACTGGTTTAAGAATGCATTAATAAATTATTCTGTGATTTATTGTCTCCTAAATCACAATGATGTTTAATCTAATCAAACGTCTGACTGATATTTCATTTGAATAGTTTATTTAAAAGCTCTATTTGGAAAAAAAAAAAAAAAAAAGGTTCAAAACCTTGAAATCAATGAATAAATATTAAGGTCATCTTTTCTTTGTTACACTTGAATAATTGATATGATAATTATCAAATCTTTACCAAAATTTTAATTCAAGAATAAATATGCAGTGCATTTTGCTGATCAAATTTAGTTTCATTTTCCCATTTAATACAAAATTAATATAGTTAATTAGTACAAAATAAACACTTTTATTTCTGGGAATACTTTTCTTTAAGTTTTATTTTAAAATCTCTCACACACTATTTTCCATGTAATGAAATTTATTAATATTATATATGTATTTATTTCTATATTTAGCAAATATAGAACAGCACATATATAGCTAATTAACAAAGTTTACATTCTTTAAAGAGCTGCAATACTTAACAAATAAAAATATTCCCCGAATCCAAATATGTATTAAATAAAATTACTAATATGATTATAAAAACATGCATATAAAGAATGGAATTTAATATACCAGCACTAGATGGTCTAGAACTGTCCATTTGTCCTGGTATAATTGGTACAACAGGAGAAACAGATTGACTGCCACTGTTAGAACTGTTGCTACTGTGACAACTGTCATTTCGATCAAAGGGTGTCTGAGTATCCACACTCTGAGTGTTTCGAAATAAATCAGCAATGGGCGCTCTGTGACCTTCTGGAGTAGGCTCAAGTGTCTAAAAAATACAGTTACATAAATATATGTGAATTATTTATGAATTTTCTTATTGACAATTTGTAGTCTACATGTCATGTAGTTTTTACAATTTTGCTTTCATAACATACATATTTCATCAAAGCAGTGAGCAGGTGAATTAAAATAGTATTTTATTTTTTATACATATATATTAAAATATGACATATCATTAATGTAACTGTAATGACTTATATGTTGAAGAAAGTACCATTTAATTTAAAACAGTATTTAGCATCCTTCAAAGCACACTGTATATGGAGGGAACCAATGGAAATTTTACAAAATGCACAAAACCTACCACAAGTTAAAAATGTTTATAAATCTCCTTCACTTCTTTGCATCTCCTGAATAGCAGCATTTTGACACTGACTCATTGTAATAGTAATACTAAACTGAAGTTTATTATTGCAATGTGATGCACTGTAGTCACTATTTCAGTTCATAATTTCTGCACTTATGTTAAATGTTCATATAAATATTTTTCTCACAAAGCAAACTGAAAAAATTCAAAAGGTAATATTTGCAGAGTCTTCAGTTAACAAAAACAATTACTGAATTACTTCACAATCACCCAATATATAATAGGGATAAATGATATGAAATATAACAAATGAGGACAACTTACAATCAATGCAATATGGATAAATAATAAAATAGTAAAGAATGTAGCTAATTATCATTAATAATCATACACCTGGCTTTAACGAAAATTTCCTGCCACCACAAATATGGTCTGCACAAACAGTTCGCATTGGCATGTTTAGTCATATTTTGTCAAACAATTTTTGGCATTTGAAAGAAAAAGACTTAATTTAGAACACTGTCTTCTGAAATTTGTAAAAAATTATCATTATCATTAGGTGCAAGGTGTCCAAAATGGAACTATCATGCTACAAGATTAGAACCATAATTTGCTTTTGGTTCTGTTGCAAAAAGTCAGCTACAGAATGTCACCGTGAACAGGTAGCAATATTGTATCATATGACACTGTGAAGTTTCGGTACCAAAAGTTCAAAAACAAGGACAATACCATTCAATAAGCACAGGAAGCCACATGAGCTGACTTAAGCAGATAAGGACAGCCATGTTCGGGCCTTCACTAATTTGCTTGAATATCAACACAAGGACAAAATTCTGGACCAGATTGTCACTTGTGATTAAAAGTAGATTTCCTTCAACAAAACAGGCTGCAAAGGGGGTTGCTCTGTGTCCAGTGAGCCCATCGGCAGCGTCGCAAAGTGCAGTTAGACTAACAAAATGAACATGCTTTGTATCTGGTGGGATTGCTATGGTATTATCTACAAAGAGTATCTAGAAAAAGGTAAAACTCTCAAAAGTAAGGTGTACAGTGAGATGCTGGTCTGCGTTGATGCTGCTATCAAAGAAAAATATCAAACTGAATTTCAGCAGAAAAAGATAATGTTCCATCAAGATAATGCAAGACAACATGTGCTTGCTTTCACCAGCTGGACTCTGTATGGATACAGTTACATAAATGGGATCTTTTGCCATACCCACCATATAACCCTGACATCGCTCCTTCAGATTTCTAACTTTTTCACACCTGCAGCTACATCTTGCTGGTGCTAAGATGTCTGAAATGAGACTGATCTACTTTTGGACTCATGGTCACCAAGTTTCTGGGCCAAAGGCTTTAAGAAACTACCAAAATGTTGACAAAAACCATAGATTTGGATAGTAACTACTACCTGCACTACTTGGATCTGCATTAAAGGTACTGCTTTCATGTTTTTTTTTTTTTTTTTTTTTTTTTTTTTTCCTAACTTTATTAAGAACACTTCTTAGCAGAAAACTTTTTTTTACAACCAGATATAATGTTCAGGTATTTCGAAAAAAGAAAATTTCTACTTCTTAGAAACTGTGATATTGTGTGTAATACACAAGTGTGTTTTTATGTATAAAAAATTTACTTAATTTCATGACATGACAATAAATGACATTTTATGCTTTCTTCACTGAAGTTTTCACATTGAAATACATTACCATTATGTAGTCTTCAAAATACTGAATTAAAAAAAGAAATCCCACCTTTATATTTGTTTGAATGATTACTGAAACATAAATGTATGAAATAAAAGCTGAATGGATAAAATTCTCAAACAAGCCCTTACAATAAAAGACTAATCATCATTGAAAGATTGATCATCAAAATTTATCCAGAACACTGCATTGATTCTGATCACATTGCATTACAAATTACATATCTGATTAGACAAATACTGATGTAATATTATAATTTCAGTTAAATGGGATGTAATATTCCCCCCTCCAAAAAAAAAAAAAAAAAAGAGTGACTGCTTTTCTGTTCACAAAGCACCACCTAGCATCAAACAAACACTGGAAATCCTAACAATACACAACGTTTCATGATATGAATAACTGTCTTATGTATTATCAAATCAATGTTCAATGCTGTGTATCAATGCACAGCTGTTCTTGATGTGATATAAATAGGTTACCACATAGGCCACTTTCGAGACTGACACCCCATTAATAGAAAAGTTGTTAGAAACAAACCAGCTTAATTAATAGATAAACTAATGATATTAATTACTCTGAAACATGTTGTAGTTTCCTAGTTCTATGTAAACTATCTCCTAACATTTAATTTTACGTCTCATCTAAGATATTCATGCCAATTTATGCCTATGGTAATGAATTACACAAGACTGTCCATGAAATACCATGAAGCCAGTTCATTTAGTTTCTCGATAAAAGCATTCCTTTGAACGGTCAGATACCATTAATTTTTTATCTTAATCAAACTTGACATTGAAAGTGAGACGGTAAAATTACTATCACATACTATACATATATATGCTCCACCTCATTATTCTGCTGAATGTCTTCATGAGTGCATTGAATTCTTATAAAGTCTAAATTATAAATCATTGTAATCAGCTGAAATAATGGATTCCTGATGAAAATTGATTTTAAATTACATATACAGTGGCTCCCAAAAATGTTCGTACACTTATGATTTTCATTGAAATAGGGCTCTATCCATTAATTAAAAGTAAATTTTCTGAATGAGATTTTAATGATAAGATCTATGAAATATTTTTAAAATATAGCGAAACTTTATTTTTAAGAAATTAATAATAAAAAAATGACAAACATTTTTATCTCACAAAGGTCTTTGTACACTTCAAAAAAATCTTGACATACTATTAGTAAATATTTTCATTTTTTTCATTTTTCGTTAAATTACTATTAGTAGGATATCCTTTAGCATCCAAACAGCTTTAAACGTCTGGGAATACTTTGACTGTTTTTGTTCCCCCCCCCCCCTCCATTCTTCCATCTTGCTGTTTTGAGTTCGCTTTTCGTGTTGATGTGTTTTGTACTTACCTCCAGCTCTTTCCAAAGTGTTCTATGGGGTTTAAATCTGGGGACTGAGGTGATGTTTTCAAACCTGTGGACAATTATAGAGACTACAGGCGAATGTTGAGAGCCGTATACTTAGGATTGTTATCATGATTAAAAATAAAGTTGCTTCCAATACCCAAATTTTGGGCTGATAATTTTAAATTGTCTCTTAAAATATTTGAATAAAGAGAGTGATTCATTATGCCATCAATAAATACCAAATTACCTAGTCCTGATGCTGTCATGCTCCCCCCACACACAAAAACACTTCCACCGCCATGCTTAACTCTTCCAACTAAGTTCTTAGAATGAAGTTCCTCATTTTTTTCTTCTCCATACAATTATTTGATCATCGGAACCAAAAATGTTAAATTTGCTTCTGTCAGCCAATAGGACATTATTCCAGTACGTTTTGGGTGTATTTATCATTGATTTTGCGAATGAAAACCTAAACTTTCTGTTTTTCTCACTAATAAATTTTTTTTTATGGGCAAGCTTCTCTGGGAACTCGTCGAACAGTTTAAGGTGAAATTGAAGTAGAAAACTTTGCATTAAATTCTGCGAACTTTCCAGCACTCAAACATGGTTTCACAATTTTGTAATAAAAATCTCTCATCACGTTTAGTTAACTTTCTCGGTCGACCTTTTCTTACCCTTGTTTTCAATCCGATTTTCTTCCTTAAGCGTTTTATCACATACTGCCCTAGAAGGGATAAATTAACTAATTTAGCGATATTTCGAATTGATTTACCACTACTATGGTGAAATTATCAATTTCGAATGCTGTTTGTAATGTCTTTATGACTGTGCCCATTTTTCAATAATAAATAGAATATTATGAGTAAACAAAAAATTAAAGCAAACGATTTTTTTAAATGCTACCAAATGCAAAAAAAAAAAAAAAAAAAAAAAAAAAAAAAAAAAACGCGAACGGGATTCTAATTTGATTTATCTAAAAATTTTAAATTTTAGCGTATAAAGACTTTTGTGAGATAAAATGTTTTCATTTTTTTTATTAATTTTCTTAAAAATAAAGTTTTGTTATATTTTAAAATATTTCATGTAATTTTGTTACGAATAGATTATTATTATTAAAATCTCATTCAGAAAATTTACTTTTAATTAATGGATAGAGCCCTATTTCAATGAAAATCATAAATGTACGAACACTTTTGGAAGCCACTGTACATACAGCATGAAACAGAAAACGTAAGTATTAAATAAAGTCTTTTTACGCAGTCAGAAACTAACTGTACATAAAACTTAATGCTTGATAGAGGGATTAACCTGGGATTTGAATACATGGATGTATTCATAATTTTCCACGTGTATAATATAAATATAAGATAATTCATGTTATAAACCCTCAATAAGGAAAATGCATCCTTTCTTTACACACAAAGTGCTCAGATGCTTTGCCATGCTGAATTAAAGTGCCACAGACTTAAAGTTAACAATGATGCTAAGAGATGGCAGCTCTGGTCACTTCTCTTGCCAAGAGAGACTTCCCCTAATATGCTGATTAAAATTTTGATATGCCTTGCTGTGTGTAGAGAACTCCATTAAGTATTTTCAAATGTGTATCAAACCCTATTGATGATTGTGAAATTATGGCTAACCTGTTAAATAATTTAATTAAAAACTTGTATTATGATACTTGCCTTTATTTAAAAACAGTATCAGAGTGATGCAAAATGATTAGGAGGTACAATGAATTACCCATATTTTTAAAAGAAAAAAAAAAAAAAAAAAAAAAAAAAGGTCTCTCTTTCTTTCTTTCCTTTTCTTTTAATAGAAGCTGAAAGAAAATAGTCTTGATAAACGTGAAAATTTAGCTTTGAAGTTGAATGTATCAAGAGAATTTCAAGGAAATTAAAAAAAAAAAAGCAAGCCTGACTAATCTGACTGTTACGATAAATAAAAGAACTTGTTACGCATTACCTATACCATATGTGTACATAATTTTAGTAAAGTTATATATGAAATTGTAGAATCTCTTGCACAATGTAATATGAAATGCCTGAAAAATGCAAAGACTGAGATCAAGCGCATAGCTAGAGGGGGTAGAGGAATATCTGTCCCCCGGCTCAGCATCCAGTGAGACAAAAAATTGGTGTTACGAATTTCAGTTTGGCAATCCTTGTATGCTTCACCCGGGTAGAGATGTCAGGAGAGGGCATGAAATTTTCAGTTGTTCCCAGGAATTGACACCGTAGCTACAGCTCTGCAAGCTGGCGATGGTTTTGGCAGCTAATTTTGGTCGCCAACTTCCCAACTATTTGGTGATATTTTGTCTCGATCCCTGTATAACTGTAATTGGTCTGATCCCTAATATGTAACTGTTTCTGACATTTTTATGTAAATGTAGCTGTATATGCCTTTCAGCAATTTCGAGAAATCAAAGGTACTAGAAATTTCTTGGTAGATTGAGATAAATACGTAAAAACTACATACATGGAGAAAGCATCATTTCTCAGTTTTAGTTCATAGTTTTACTCAGAATATTCAGAGTGTGAACTTAGCATATGACACTCTCTTTTAAATTGTCTTGTATTTAACATTCTTAGTAGTCTGAAGTGGTAACTACTGACTGTACTCTGTCACACTGAGAAGAGCTCTACAAGAACTTTTCTGAAAAGTTCCAGAACTGTAACGTGTTTCTTTTAGGGGAAGAGAATAAATTTTATCAAACATTAATCAGTTATGTGTGCATTCAATTCATTACAAACCCATATACATATATCAAACTAACTTTTCCGGGGAAAATGTTCACAGTAAAATTGAAAGAACAAACAGATGTTTTAAATCTCACAACTAAAATGGACACATGAAAAATTTAATGAGATATCTTCCAATTTGTGTTTTATAACTGGTGAAAAATTATTACCATTAGATCTAAATAGTTAAAAAAAAGCACCTTATAACTTTTCAATTAAATGTGCAAATGATAAACATGCAACAGGAATTTTATCTAGCTTTAAAAACCACACTATCTGAATAACTCTGCATATTAAAAAAAGAACAGAATTTTAAGAAACACTTTATGAATACAGTTTAGTTCAATAATATCTTAATTCACCAATTCCACCAAGACTGTTTTTACCTTGCCAATTTACTGTTTTCTACGCTAAAAGGAACTTCACTTAACTTAAAAATATGCAAAATGCCTCTTGATCAAAAAAATTTGAATTACATGATCAAGCAGATTTTGAAAAGATGTATAGATATCCTGATGGTTTTTATTCTTAAAGTTTAAAAAAATAAATAAATAACAAATAAATAAATAAATAATAATAAAGTCATAAAAAAAGTGGATTCATATTAATTGCATTGCTATTTTTATATTGTTTCAGTGTTATTTGCTATGTAACATAATTTTTAACATTTTAATTTAAAATGAATCGTAACATGTATTATTTATTAATTTTTTATGTAAAGAAAATTACAAGAGTGGTATAATGACTTAAAATAGTTATATTTCCTGAATATGCAAGTATACAGATATACGGAATATTATTTTTTTAAAGCATACAAATCTGACCATAGTGAATCAGATATTAATGCTATTAGAGATATAACAGCAATCTCGCACATTTAGTTTAATGACAGCATTTAAAAATAATATAAGGTTGATCAAAAGTTTTGCCTAATAATATTATTTCAAATTTCAACATGTATGCAGATGTTATTATTTAATAAGAGAATGATGTGCATATGGTAGGACACCCAAGGACAAATACATTATGAGATTTTGAAACCTTAGGAAAAACTCTATTTGGAGAGATACTGTCAGCAGAGGGATGATTTAAACAAACCACTGAACAAACAAAAAAAAAAAAAAAGGAGGCTGGTGATATTAAATAAGCAACACATTATACTGTATCATGATAATGCCAGACAACATGGTCCTTTGGTGTCTCGTCAGAAAATAGCATAGCTAGGGTAGGAAATTCTGCCACACTTATCATACTCCCCAGACCTAGCACCCTTTGATTAGCACTTGTTTCACTCGTTGCAAAATTTTTTTGAAAAAAAAAAAAAAAAAAAAAAAAAAAAAAAAAACAGAAGCAGCTGCCAGCCAAGCGCTACTTGAGTTCGCCTCTAAGGAACATTTTTCAAGAATGGCCTTTACAAATTACCACCACCCTGGCAAGAGGTCATAAGTAAAAATAGAAATTATATCATACAATATGTACCATTAAAGGTATGAAAAACATATTACCGTAATTTCCGGAAGAAAGGCCACATCAGCGTAAACGCCACAATAGATTAAATTGCGCGTGACATCGTCGTGGGCCGTATAGATGCAAAAACTCAACCTAAGTCCTGATATATGACATACCAGTTAAGAAAAATGCATCAAATGAAAATATAACTCAAAAATAAATTAAAGGTAAGAAATGTACAGCTTCTGTGCTGTTTAGAGACATTTTCAAAAATTTTCCGCTCCCTTCTTACTTAAAAACTATCCAACAAGTACTTGTATCCAAACTGATGGGATCTGTATTTGGCAGAATGCCAAGAAAAATCCATTCATGCTGAAGGGGAAATACCTCAGAGTTCGTTATTGCGAGGCAGGGAGTCGTGTCCACCTTTGAAAAAAATTTCAGAAAAGGCAGGGGTGGGGAGAGGATGGGTTCTGGAAGATTCATCGAATCACAGAGGAGAGAGACTATTCAAACTGATGAGAATGTTGATTTGAAAGGGGGAAGAATGTTATTGTTCTGAGATTTTGTTTAGGGTGAATAAGGCATGTAGGTCCGTTCAAGGGAAAGAATGTAAACAAAATAACGTTCACAAAAAGCAACTGAGTGGTCTTTTGTGTGGGAACAGCACCAGTCTATGCACAATGACAAGGCCATCCAAACTATGTACAATGACCATCATAAGAAATATTTTATTTTCAGTGCACCTAAACACCGCATGGGTAGAAACGCCGCACCCGCTGAAAATTTAAGTTTTAAACACATAAACGCCGCGGCGTTTCTTCCGGAAATTACTGTATTTACTTTTGCTTCCTAAACGGACAGAATTTTCCAGAAGATCTTATATATTTACTTTCATACAACAATTTTACAAGTTTTAACAAGTAATTTTTACTAAATATTTACAGATGAACACATACAGTTAGAATTCATATAAACTCATATATTAATTAAGAAAAATAATACAGTACAAAGTCTGTAATCTGGACTCGTCGGGACTTCGGCGATTCCAGATTAAGGTTTTTTCCAGATTATAGATTATCAATTTAAATCTGGTAAGATGGCATGCAGAAATTATACAATTATAAATATGAAATTTATGAAATAAAGAGCAATTATGATCTAAAGGGTATCAAAATTTACAAAAAAAAAAGCTTAATATTTATTTGTTTACTTTAAACATTTCTTTCAATGTAAGTTTTTTAAGTTGCTTTGTTTTTTGTGCTAATACTTTATCTTTAATTCTATAAACAGACATAATTTCTTGTTCAGTTATAAAGTTTGACTGTTCAAGTCCTGTAATTGCTGTGTCGATAATACCGACTAACTTGTCAATCGAAATTTTTTTGTTTTCAATAACCCCTCTGTCACTTTTTTCACTATCGGAAGTGGTATGGCAGCTCTAGAATTGGAAACTCTTTTTGACATAATCAAAAGTTCAAGCTTAATTTTTATAAAATTGCTCTAACAGTCTGCAAAAAATAATAAGCCGGATCCAATTAGAAGATTAAGGAACAGCGCAATCTACAACATTAACTGAAATAAATGCCTTAGAATCGGTAAAGATAATTTTAGCCTAGCTTATACCGTCTGTTATACATTAAACGCACATGCATTAACACATTATGCACATGCGTAATGCATACAAAATAAAAATTTGTGGCTTTGAGGTTCGGATTGTAGATCATTCCGGATAATGGACGTCCAGATTACGGACTTTGTGCAATATAATGTTTTTTAAGTTATGCATATGTTCTGCACATTACTCTCTAGATATTCTTAATGTTAGAATGAATTGCTCAAATTACTGTTAATTGTAAACATACACTCTTATTTTTCATCTAGAAATTATAAAAGTATTTATAAATATGCTATCTGATAAGAATATCTTTGTGGATTTAAATAAAATGTCAAAATTTTATAGGTATAAGAAAATACTTACTCTATCAGTATCATCTCCTTCATTGGAACTAATTTCTCTCAAAACTATTCTTTCTATCTCCTGTAAATGTAAAAGAGTTTTGAGATCATTAAAATAATACTCAGAAATTTAATTTTCTTCTTATTTTTTAAAAAAAAAGGAAGTCAAACAAGTTTAAGAAGAATTTCATCAGTCTGAATTTCCTCCTTCAAACTATCTTAAAATTAGAAGTAAATATAAATTTTATACGAGAAGAAATTATATATTTTTATAGTTGCCATTATATTTTTAATAATTTGCTTTTTACTGTCAGTTTTTGCGACCCTCACTGCAGTTATAGCTAATTTTATAAATCTTTATACCTATGATCTCCATATAGGACTCTTCCTTCTTGTTCAAAAGTGAGCATTGTTGCAATATAATTAAAGAGAAAATTCTATTATAGTCTTATACATTGTTAGATAGCATCAATGAATCAGATGCTGATACTGGAATTTTAATAAATTTTCAGATGTACCAGGCATGTTTTAGAAAACAGTATTCCTTGCAATAACTGCCTAAAGCTGAATATGGTCACTAAGATTTTAGTATGGAAATAAGAACTATCTAAAGCAAGTTTTCAATCATTCAATAAAGTTTTCTTTAACGTAAGAAAAAATTTCATATTTTTCATACATGATACACATAAAACTGAATAAACTAGTGAACTCCCAAAAATTACACATAAAACCAAATATACAGGGAAGTAGGAAAACAAAAACTCTGGGTTACTTTTAGAGCGGCAAAAAAATTCTAAAATAAATTAACTGGAATATTTATTGAGATACTAAACTGGAGGATGTTAAAATGTATAAGCTTTTTGTAAATCTTAGAATACAAAATTAATTAAACTTCAAAATTAAAAGTATAAAAACTAATGCATAAAGAAAATATAAAACTGGATTTTTACAATTTCTTCTGTACTATACCAACTTAATAAATTGAATAGTATTCTTATTTAAATATTTAATAATAAATAATTAAGCTTGTGTGCCACAACCATAACACTTATTCACTTCTATTATCTTATGCATAAATGAAAGAAGTCACTCTGTGGGGAGGGGGGGGTAAAGATAATATCAACATTTAGAATTATTCCAATTTTTGGAAAAATTCACATTCAGTTTTGGAAAAGCAAATAGAGACAAACTAATGCATAGTTCTTAAACCATTTTTATTTGTGTTTTTTCAACTGATATCAATATCTATTAATATTAGTACATTACAAAATCTTTAATCCGGATTCGTCGGGACTTTGGCGAGACCGGAGTTAGGGATTTTTCTGGACTATAGAACATCAATTTAAATCTGGTAAGATGGCATGCAGAAATTATAAAATTAAAAATATGAAACCGTAATTTATGAAATAAAGAGCAATTATAATCTAAAAGGTATCAAAATTTACAAAAAAAAAAAAAAAAGCTGAATATTTATATGTTTACTTTATTAAACATTTCTTTTAATGTAAGTTGTTTAAGTTACTTTGTTTTATGTGCTAATACTTTCTCTTTAATTCTATAAACAGACATAATTTCTTGTTCAGTTACAAAGTTCCGCTGTTCAAGTCCTGTAATTGCTGTGCCGAGAATACCGACTAACTTGTCAATCAAAATTTTTTTGTTTTCACTAACCTTTCTGTCACATTCTTCATGCTTTTATCCATTTTTTGCAGCAATTCCACTTTTTGTTTGATGGACATTGAAACATGCTTTCGCTTTGTAGATCTTTTGGCAGCTCCAGAATCGGAAACTCTTTTTTGACATAATCGAAAGTTGATTCTTACTTTTTATAAAATTGCTCTAACATTCTGCAAAAAATATAAGCCGGATCCAGTAAGAAGATTAAGGAACAACGCAATCTGCAATATTAACTGAAATAGATAATTAGATAATTTTAGCCTAGCTTATACCGTCCGTTATACATTAAACGCGCATGCGTAAATATATCCTGCACATGCACAAACACATAATGCATTTACGCATGTGCAGAAAGTTTGTAGCTTTGAGGTCCAGATTATAGATCATTCCGGATTATGGATATCCAGATTAAAGACTTTGTACTGTATAATAGATCTCTATCTTACATAGTTATTCTTTGGAATTATGCATAACTTTTGAATGTTCCTTTCATATAATTCATCTTAAAAGTTGTAAATAAAATTGCAATGAGGATTCTATTTACATACATGATTAAAACCATGTCTTTAACAGAGGGTAAAAAAAAAAAAAAAAAAAAAAAGTTTTTTTAAGGGAAATAGGAAATTATGTATTTTTGCAATGTTATGCACAACAAAACTGTGTATTTTATTTGTAATAATCTCAAAAAATGCTTTTCTCCAAGGCTGCAAACTTTATCAGAATCTAAATGCCATCAAGTGTCTCATAGTATTAAGAATATGCTTTCCAGGCATTTAAAGTTTGCTCCTCCAAATCGAGTCTTAATCAAAAATTAAACTGCTTAAAAGCAGTCTATTAACAAAGGTTTTCCACCTAGCATTATTGACTAAGTGGTTAAAAAATTCTATTCCCAACCCATCAAAAAACACTCTCTTGTATAACAAATTATAAGGATGCTATTGTCATTTCTTTCTTTCGATTTGATGAGCTATAAAACTGTGTGTACGTTATAGAAATTCAACTTTTGTGTCATTTTTTCTTGTCAGTAAAATTTGCAGTTCCATATTTAGAGATACCATTCCAGATATATACTCCTGGGGTATATACAGGATTTCTTGCCTTAATTTACATTGGTCAAACTAAAAGAGCCTTAAAATGTTTTGTGAATCTAAGTCAGGGGGAAAAAAAAAGGTACACATAATATCTTCTGTTGCCCAACATTGTTGGTCAGAAAATCAAATTTTCCACTTTCCTGCAACCAGAATTTTTCTAAAATAATTTTTCATCCATCAACTAGATTTTCTAAAGGCATTTCATATTCATAAAACCTTTTAGCTCTAGTTAATGATCAATTCCAAGCTGTCTTTACCCTCAGCTTTCAAAGAAATTATTTCACATTTGCTTTCATTTTCCTCAACAGATGTCATCAGTAGCTCAATTTTCTTTCTTATGACCTTATCTTAACACTCGCTTCTCTTTTGTAATTTGCACTTTTGCAGCTAAAGAAGAAAGTTCTATTCATTTAGAAGTCAAACAACAAAAATCAGCCTTATATTTTCAAATTTTCACAGGATTAGTTTCGATGGTTTTACCGAACCATCATCCTCAGCTGCAAAAGCGCAAATGAATGAGATAAGATATAGTGATTAGATGAGAAAAGATAAAAAAAGAATGAACAAGAATCAAGCTACTGAGGGCAAAGATGGATTGGAATTAGGGTCGTTAACTAGAACAGAAAGATTTTTTTGAATGTGAAATGCCTCTAGAAAATCCAGTTCTCCAATGGAAGATGTTTTCTGAATAATTTTGGATGCAAAAAAAATTGAAAGTGTGATTTTTGGACCAACAATGGTGGGCAACCGAAGACTTCTATGTTTCCTTTTTTCTAACATATACCTCATGTTCCTTAAAGCAAAATTTTAAGGCTCTTTTAGTTTGACCAATGTAAATTAAACCACATTGGCAAGGAATCCTGTAAATACCCCAGGAATTCAAATCTGGAATGGAGTCCTTGAGTATGGAACCCAGAATTTTATTGATGGGAGAATAAACAACCCGAAAGTTAAATTTCTGTAAAATAAGTGCAACTTTATCGCTAACTGATGGAAAGAAGGAAATGACAACAGAATTTTTATAATCTCCTAAAAGTGTGCCTTTTGATGTGTTGAGATGAGAATTTTTTAACTGCTTTACTAATAATGGTGGGTGAAAAGCCCTTGTCAAGAGCTACTGCTTTTAAATAATTTAGTTCTTAATCAAGAGATAGTTTGGAGGAGCAAACTTTAAGAGCATTGAAAACATAGAAATAAAATGAAGCTAACTTTTGTTTAATCAGATGACGTGATTTGAAATGTGGTGGAAGGCACATCGATAAAGGTTTACGGTAAACCGTAGTACTGAAGTTAGATGTGTTATGTGTGACCAAAATGTCGACAAACGGAAGAGAATTGCAAGTCTCAAGTTCAAAGGTGAATTGTTTGATTTCTAAATTAGTACTTGTTCAGCGTGTAATTGTATCATAATTAAAAAGGTTCTATATTTAAACCTTCAAAATCAGTCCTCCAATATTATGCTGATTCTTATTCCTTTAACTCTTCTAATAAGTGAAAAAACAATTACATCTATTGGTGTTTCAGCTTGAAATTACAAAATCTAAGATGTTAACAGAAACTTAACATAAACTCACTTGCAATTCAAGAACACAACAGTAATTTATGATATATTTCTGTTTATAAAACAAAAATATTTTAAATTTTTTCTAAAGCAAAAAATGCTGGATGGCTTAGGTGTGGATCTGATAATCTGACAAAAATGTCAGTTCTTTTCCATTAACCGGGCACAAGCAATAAATTGTCAAACCTAGCAGATTTTATTTTTTTAGTTTATATTTCTTAAGTTTATGGAAAAAATTAATTTTAAATATATGAGTAATTATTTGCAATCTTGGCTTATATTGAGAAATATATACAAAGCAGATATTGAATTAAAAATTAAGATTCTGGTCCTATGCTAATATGCCTTCTACAGTAACTAAAAATGAAATCTAACAGTCAACTGTAACTCCAACAGGTACAATCAGAATAGTCTTGGCTTAAGTTGCCAGTTCTGTCTCACTTAACTTAGATTCTCATTCATTAATTTGCATTTCTAGTAAAGATGATGGAAAGCTTAAGTACAAGAAAAGATTTAACAAAAGAGAATAATGTATTAGTTAAAATAAACTTTATAATTTTGTAAGTCCTGGTATACTATATTCCTACAAATGTACTGCCTGCCTATTCATAAAATGATGGAGCCAGGCATAGACTCGCAGTGCTTCTGAAGGTGCATTTTTGCTGCTGTTTGCTAAGCTGCTTTACAAGTTTCAATAAAAAGCTTTAAATGACTTATATGGATATTCTGATGGCCATAATATGAAGGTAAAATTAACTTTTCAACTCTGAATCATTATACTTCTATGCTTAAAAAACACATCTAATTTTACATATTATTTTAACTCTAATTTCTGATCACATCGTCTATACACAGACTTTTTTTTATTTTTTTGTGTTCGAAGAGTGATTTACTCCCTATTTTCTACAGTATGGAATAGCTATGAAACATAGCTCATTTTTTTACCTTGACTTCCTTCTAAACAATTTTCATAGTTATCCAGTCATATAAGCCTCACTTATGAATCCAAAAATTTACTTTTGCTCTTACATTTCTAATTCCATGTTAAAAAATGTGATCATGAATAGAATATGAAGCATTAGCATAACCAGAGAGTACAATGAAAACTTTCTTGTCTCATTCTAAAACTCGCTTTTCACACATTAACATGAAGCAAGATATACATATAAAATCCACTGCTGTATAAAATAACAAGTGAAACAATAACTTTACATACTTTACTGATTCAACCCCCCCCCCCAAGTGGAAAATGAACATAAGGCAATCACTACATGAGCAAATGCCTTATTTATGTGCCATCTTATTAAAATTCAAACCTAAAATATGTGCAAAGAAATAAAAAGTAACACCCCCCCCCCCAAAAAAAAAAAAAAATTGCAAATTTCACGCAGATCAAAATGGTTATTAACATGATATATTTCCACAAAGATTTGACACTATTTGAACTGACAATTAACACATCCCAGCAGATAATCAATTTATAGACCTAATTCTATAGAATTACAAATTTCATGAAGATCAAAATGGTCATTAACATGATATATTTGCATACAGCCGCTCATACGGTATAGTGGTTAGAGAAGCCAACTGCAATATAGAAAGACCCAGGTTCGAATCCCAGAGAAGACATGGACATAAAGTTTCTGGCCCCTCATAGGAAGTAATGGTGGCTGCTTATTAGCTGCTTCCACACTAAAATGGCCACAACTTCTGGCCTCAGGAGTGGCCAATGCTGAAAAAAGGCAAGTGCCTACCATTCAAGCAAATAAAAAAAAAAAAAAAAAAAAAATTCCATGCAGATCTGACAATCTTTTTGTTGGCAATTACACATCACAGCAGGTCAATGTTTACAGACTTAATTCTACAGAATATGTTGTGGCTAAATATCCCTACTACGATCACATTATGAACTACAGCTAAACTGTCACTGATTACATGAAGTAGCATTGTATATAAGAGTGAGATTTAGTTGACTCACACTAATTCAGCAGAACAAATTCTTAAAATAATTTTTGTTCAGCTATCCAGTAATTAAACCAAATGTCAATACTCATTTTAGTATTCCTTAGTATCTCATTTTACCTCTTATTTTGGAACCAATCTCATTCTTAAAAGATTTGAATCTATTACTGACTGTATAATAAAAACAACACATGTAATGTAAAGGAAAATAATAAAGTAACAAAATTAAAGGATCTAAGAAATTGGTTTTTCATGCCTAATTGTAAACATATATAATAACTATTAATAAATCATTTTTAAAATATTATATCAACATATTAATAAAAGATTTTCAAATTAGCTAATAATATATTTACCTGATTTAGGCCCTCAACACTGCTTCTCATTCTCGGAATCAATGGCTTTGGAATGTCGGGGATTGGAATAGGAAGAGCACGTGAGGAGTTAGAGGCAGAGGCAAAAGAGGAGTAGGTGGCACTGGCATTATTACCATTACTCGCAGCATGTAGCATTCCATGCGAAACTTGGTGGTGGGGAGAGATGGACGGCAGAATGGGAGATGTGGTACCCCCTCCACAGGCGGACGATGATATGGCAAAGTGGTCCCCATGAATGGGACTCTGCCTCTGGTGGGAGCTGGAGGGCCCCGTCAGACGACTGTTGTGATTGGTCCTTTGCAGACGCTGACGAATAAACTATGAAGGAGGAAAATCAACAAAATTTCACTTATAATATATATGAGCACAATAAGGTTACAATGAATATTTCATATATTTAAAGGGGGAAAATTATGTTTGTAAACTTGGTACTTTTTGATTATCTATGCTATCCTCCCAAAAAATTGAAACAGCCACTTTCAGTATGGAGGCACACTGAGAATTTCGTAAAACAGTAATCAATAAAATTAAAAAAGCAAGGAACATCTGCAGTAAAAGACTTACCTCTTTCAAGAAATCTTCATGTATGATTTTCCATGCTGTTTTCCTCATGCAAACAGTGCCTTGTTTGCAGATTCATCAGGTTTATTGATGCAGGTGATGTAAAAAATGCATAATGCCCTCACTACAATTTGAACTTCAGAGCTCCTGATTACACATCAGTTGTGCTAGCCAGTAACACCACAAAGGCACACTCAAAGGAAGGAGAAAACACCTTATGCCCTTCCTTTTAAAAGGGTAATTGGGGATGATGGGACCAAGTCACCAAATCCTGACCATCTAGCACCAATTAATTCAAATGCCACTTTTAAAGTTATTACATTTATTGATGCAGAAAATGTGAAAAATGTACAATGCCCTTGATAGGATTTGAACTCTGGACCTCCTAGTTACATATCAGATCTGCTAGTCAGTTACACCATGAAGGCAAGCAGAAAGGTGGGCGAAAATGCCCTATATGTTTACACTTAAAAAAAGGTCAGAGAATTAAACAAATTTAGTATCACACACAAACTTGTCATTGTGGTCGCTGTTCTTCTTTTCGTGCACAAAGCAATCTCTTTTTTTCTTAAAAAATATCACAGCATTGCAGAAATTTAGCATTTTGCATTCTAACATTTAATTTGCATATTTTTCATGCTGTATTTGCTGAATATTGCTGAAGAACTTCAAAACTCTTTTTCATCAGTTAGCAATGTTACAAGGGAAAAAAAATTACTCAAGGCAGAAAGTAATATTACTCAGAAAAATGATTACTGATTTTAGAAAGCAGAAATTCATGTAACAGAGACACACATCTACTGCATGTGTTCACATATCATTGTCCATGATGTCTATTTTAGTGACACTGATTGCCACAAAACTATTTTTGTGACATATGCACTGCCTCGTAAAAACTTTTGGGGGATGAGATAATCAGAAAGAACTGTATTCTAAAGAAAGAGTAAAAACACTATTTTTAAGCAACAGAACTTTTTTTTTTTTCCCAGATTTTTGAATAGCTTGAAATTATCATAGAGGCTGTTGCATATAAAACATACAAACTTAATAACTGAACTGAATTAGAAATTAAAAGTTAAGATGGAAACCAGATATTTAGCAGTTCCCCCCATCTACACTACACCGGTGTTTTGAAAACATATATACTACTCATCTTATGATCTTAACTATGAATAGAAATATCTGATGTGGGCACTGCATGACTTCTTCGTACAGCCTATTAAATTATACACTTTTTTTTTTTTTTTTTTAAACTTCACTTAAAACTATTTCTTCGAATTTCATGAGAAATTTCTCATTTTGCAGTAAGACAAAAATACATAAAAATGTAGAATCTCTTCATTAAAATTTGTAAAATACAGAAAAACCTAAAACACCAAATACAGTTAAAAACAATTAAAAAACAATTTTGACAATTAAATTAAAAGTTTCTATGCAAAAACATGCAATTCAGTCAATGGGTAAGATCAAATTTGTGATGCACGAAACTGAAAGTTAACTTTTGATCCCACTGGCTAAAAAGACACTGAAATTGAAGCCCAAACTGACTTAATTCCCTATTCTACTAAGAGTTTCAAATGTAAACAAATGGCAGCCTCATAATGATAAGCACCATTTAAACTTTTAAATTCTTGATAATTCTACAATTATTGGATGCAGATTAAATAAAGGCATAAAAATCTTAAACTAAAACAAAAGAACACATAATTCAACCACTTTTAAAGCAGGCAATGCACAATTTACAAGCATATAAGATTAAAGATACTCAGCTGGGTAACAGACTACCAATATATATATATTTGTTTTAATTGATAATAGATTGGTTTGTTCCACTTTAACCAATTAACCAGCAGTCAATGACACATTAAAAACCTAAAATTTTCATGATTACAGTATTTCCTTTACTTTGCATAAAGAAGTAAAAATGTTTCATGTTCTGCTGTTTGAGTAAAAAATCTATACTCATGCAAAAACACTTTAAACTTCAAAACAGGAAAACATTAAGAAAAATTTCCTTTTCATATGTAACAGACATGATAAAGATAATACCCCTCGAAAAGTTACTAACACTTGAAAAAAATGGATTAGAATAAAACAGCACTGTATCATGTTACTCAACAAAATTTTTAAGAATATTTTTGTTAAGATTGATAGCATAATAATAATAATCTAGTTTAAAATACATTTTAGAAACATACCACATACTAAACTGATTATTAAAAAATATAAAAATATTTCATATAAAACTATTGATATTAAATGATGCACATAGATCCCTTCTTAGAGAAGCAAAAGTACTTTTGCTACTTGCAGAAGAGAGACCTATATAAGTAGCCTCTGAAATCAAGCAAGTTTTACATAAAATATTCACCTATAGATACAACACTTTCTTATGGCTTCCCCCCCCCCAATTTTACATTTAAAACTTAGATTACTTATCAAACCACAAAATTCTTCTGATAAAAACATTTACATATCTCCCAACTAATTTGAAATTAAACTATAAAAAAACACAGTTATTTATTTTTGTGTTTCATTAAATTTGGTATGCAAGTTACAATGCACCTTTCCGATTTACTTCTTTTAAACACAAAATATTATCATTGTACTAACTTGCTTGTATAAATTAATGAATGAGATTTTGCACAGAAATGAAAAATCTTGTTCAGTAATTTTATATTTTGAAGTTTATCATTATCTAAAATTAAGTGACTTAATATAACAATTACAAATTATGCAACTTAATATGATAATAGTCTTATACATTTAAGTCTGCTTATTGGCAGGCAACAGGTTGATAGATGATAATATAATTATGTAAAATTAAGAGGGGCTTCATTTTTGTATAGATTTAACATAACACAACCAATTTTGGCAGCGAATGACATAAATTCCTCTTCTTCATAAATGAATAAATTCCCTCTTCCTCAGAGTTTTCAAATTAAGCTTCTTAAAAATTCAAAAAGAATTGCTCTTCTTTATATATATATATATATATATATATATATATTATAAACAATAAAATAATTATCATAACTCTTAGTTTTGATGTAGTGATATGTTTTGAACAATGATGTAGATTTCAAAGTTGTAATGTGACTACATAAAGCTATGCATAATTCGCTTACTAAGTCTGAGGCATGAATACAAAATAACAATGTTTAGATAAAAAAATGACTTAAAAGAGTAAAATCACGAAGTTTTTTATATATTTTTTAAATACCAAAATTTTAATTAAAAATGCTATTAATGTATTAACAAATTCATCTTGTAAATTTTGTATCAGTATTACAATTAGAATGCATAATTAATAGTTGTTCTTTAGTTGTGTTAGCTGTAATAGTTGTTTTTTACAATTAGAATGCATTTAAAAAGATTAAAACTGAAAAATTCAAATGGAATTTTATCAGACTTTTTCCTCACACTGTTTCAAACTACGTAAATTCTTATAATAAGGTTTACTGAGAAAAGTTTTGATATTTTTCCCATGTATGTTTGTTACTAATAACATGTGTTAAAATTAAGTTACCTCAGATTTGTTTATTAAGCTATTATATACTGCTTCTTACATTAAAAAGGCTAAAATATAACAAAATATTTATTAAAAATTTGGAAAAAATCATCACCTGCACCCCAAAAAATACCTGACTGAGAATTAGATCAAAAATAAAACTTCTGAGATGTAAATTAAAATAAAATTATAAGCAAATGTCTTTAATGTTAAAAAGACATACCAATTTGTAAATTTAAAAAAAATTGAAAAAGTTTTTAAAAAATTATTATTGTTTTTCATTGTTCTCAGGTTGAAATAACTTGAAATAAATTTTAAAACTTTTAAAAGAATGAAAAACTATATTATCTTCTAACTTAAAAAAACTATCATCAAATGAAAAATTATATTATCATCTAACTAGTCTGGTTCCTTAATTTCAAATGTATTACTCAGACACTTACTTTCATTTCTAACGTTTCTCCAGAGGCAGCAGAACATTTTTTTTGTGATAGTCTCCTATCTGTATCTTCAAATTCTTCTGGAGTCTGACAAAAAAAAAAAAAAAAAAAAAAAAAAAAAAAAAAAATACAAACTTAGATTTCTTGGCACAGCCATCAATAAAACAATAAACTTTTTTTACAAAAAAATTGAGTAGAATAGTAAAATATAAAGCAGTATAAGAGATGTTTTAAAGAAGCATCTAGGATGGATATGGATATGAATTATCAAGTCATATCCATATTCCCTTTTATGCAGGCATCTTTGAAATCCTTTCTCATGGAGGCAAATCACAATTTAGTATATTCTGGGTGAATGAATACGGAATAAGACAAGACAATTCAATGCTCATTCAAATGAACTTTGCAATGAAAATAAAAGTGGTACAAGCTAGTAATACATTTTTTATTGCTATGATAGAATGGATAAATTCAAAGTTGCAAAAAAAAAAAGAATCTCCAATAAAGCAAAGAGCACCTAGTATAAAATTAGAGCAATGCATATCTTCTGATAATAATAATGGCAAAGTAAATATATATATATATATATAATAATGTAATTATTTTTTTCAGGAGAAATATGATTTAAACAAAACTTCACATTTGGCTTAAAAATGTAATAAACAAATTCCAAATACTTCTGGCTGCAATAAAATGATATAAATGACATAGATAGTAAGAAATTAATCTTTGAATAAGTAAATACTTAAACTATATGAATTAGATAATAGAAAGTAAGCATTAGAGATCAGAAAAGAGAAGAAGGCATAAGCCATTCCTTTAGAAGAAAAAACAACATTTTATAACAGGGTTCATACACATTTCTGCACACGGAAATTAAGTACTTTTAAGGACCATTAATGAAAAAATTAAGGACCTATAAGCAAATGGGAATTGAATAAGTTAAATTAAAAATATTATCTATGCCTGAATTTCATTTTTACAATACCATCCTAAAGATAAAATAGATTCCTAAGTAGTATGCATTATTACTAAACATGAATTAACATAATTATTAATAAGTTTGAGAATAAAAAAAAACTTCATGCAATTTATCAAGTAGCATTAAATATTTTACACTTATAATATTTGGACATATTAGAAAGCAGATAAGTGACATTTATGTTTTACTAACAGCTTTATGTTTTACTAACAGCAGGGATTGGAAGCAGAAATTAGAAAGGTACTAGGCAGCAGAATTTAGGATCCACAGAGACTGCATCAGGTGGGAAAATGCCTAATGCCAGCTCTGTCTATGATGTATTAAGACATATTAGATGAACCTTTTAAATTGTAAGTTTTCAATTTCTTTATTAATAAAAAAAATCCCTTTGTATAATTCCTGCCCATGTTATAAGATTAGAAGCCTTTTGGATATTTCCATGCTTGTGTCTAGTGAAAAGTAGAGAAAATAAAGAGAGGATAAAAAGATTCTAATATCAGAAGTAAAACATTTAAATTTTATGTTTTCATTGTTCTTCTAGACGTTCTCCAAAAAGTAATAAATTCCTCGCAAACTTTCTGTAAAATACATCCGTTACGTGTTGATACCATGGAGACATTTTTCATTTTGTCACATATTTCTCGAGTCGTGTGTCTACAAATCTTGCCTTCAAATCCTTCTAAACTTTCCATGCTGCAATGTCTTAAATACTAAAGAAAAATTATTAGAAATATTATAAATTCTGTAACAGCAAAAAGGCAGAAATATATATTAAAAAAAAAAAAAAGAAGAAGAAGAAGAAGGAGAGGGAAAATAAAATTAATTTTATAGAGAAAACTGATGCATATTCTCAGAATTTTGAATATTCTGAGACAATTACATGAGAAAAACTGCTGCTATGAAAAAATTAAAAAGAGCACATTTTTAATTAATTACATAGCTAATTTTGCTTTTGTTAAGAGCTGTTTCGCGAATTGTGCTTTATAGCATTATACCTTGCTTATTTTTCAGATTCAAAATATTGTATAAGTTGTCAAAATGAAACTTTATAATATGACAGCGAAAAATTTAAAATGTTTTATTTTAATGTTATTTTTTAAATATATTACCATTATTTTAATGAAATTTATCAATGTTACGATGTTAAAAGAAAATCGTCAAAACATTCTCAGATCTCGGAATTAAAAATTTTCTATAGAAACTGATCTTAACCACTTGCGCTACGACTAAACTTCACAGTTGCAGTGCCGTGCGCTACAATATAACAAGCGGTAGTGTGTCTCCTTTATGCCGTCCCGCGTCTGCGAGTGCAGAGCTGTAACTCGAGAAATAAACACAGAGCTGTAACTCGAGAAATAAACAATCTTGTTGTTAGGCAATGTGTGCACCACGTTATTTTCATTTTTGCGCGCGGTTTGAGACAAAAGTATCTTGACGTGCGTGGCACGTCTTTTCAGCGCAAGAGGTTAAAATCGCCAAAATGTTGTCAAATTTAGAACCATTTAAAAAAAGAATTCACATTGCCAAAAGTGAAAAGTTGTTTAAGACCTCTTTATTAGAAAAAATGAATTTCGAAATGCTTATGTTTGACAATATTCTCTTAGATGTAGAAGTCGAATTAAATCGTAAATTAGCTAAACTTTCCAAAGAAATTAAATCGGAGCCTTTGGTTTGCACGAATACTGAGAACAATGTTAAATTACCCAAAATTAGTTTGCCAACGTTTTCGGGTAACTTACATGAGTGGCTTTCATTTAAAGATATCTTTTTAGCCAGTGTTGATTCAAATCCTAATTTAACAGATGCAGTCAAATTACAGTACTTAAAATCTGCGCTAAGAGGAGATGCTTATCGTATTGTACAGTCAATATCCATAGTTGACTCTAATTATAAATTAGCCTTTTCATTACTAGAAGAAAGGTTCTCTAATCACCGCAAACAAGTGTATGCTCATCTGAGACGATTTATGAATATGCATACTATGCAAAATGAGTTTGCGTCAGCAATATTAAACTTAATTGACATTACAAATGAATGTGTGAGATCATTAGAAGTTTTAAATCAGAGTGTTAACGGTTTTTCTTCCAATGTGTTTGCATACATTTTAGGGCAAAAATTAGATCCTAACACCAAAATATGGTGGGAAAGAAAATTAGAGAAAGAGAATTTGCCTAATTTAACAGATCTTATAGAATTTCTTAAAGATCATGCAAGAACTCTCAATGCTTCAAATAGTGTGACTAACAAAAAAGGTTACACATAGAGTTACCGCTGTGGCTGTTTTTTCTAATGCAAATGAAAAAACATATGCAGAATTCGTGTAGGTTATGTAATTTGAGCAATCACAAGCTATTTAATTGTCCTAAATTTCAGAAATTAAGTGTAAAAGAAAGGGTAGAATTTGTGAAAAAACAGAATTTATGTTTTTGTTGTTTTAATTTGCACATTGTGAGAGATTGCCGTTCTAATTACTTGTGCAAGAAGTGTAAGAAAAAATATAGCTTTCTCTTGTGTTATCAAACCAAAAATAATTCCATTGGCACCACATAGAAAGAGCAGACACTTCAGATCAGGAGTTCGGTGATCAAAACAGCAATGCGTTAAATGTACACGCACCTGCATTTCAAGCTAAAACTCAAAACGAAACCTTTACAGCTGCTACGGGTACTAACAGTGGGAAAAACGTGATTTTATCTACTGCCTTTGTATTTATTGAGACTAATGATGGAACGTTAATTAAGGTGAAAGCATTATGTGATAGTGGAAGTGTTTCTTGTTTTTGTACCACTGAATGAGCGGATATACTTAATTTAAAAAGGGAAAAGATAAAATATTTCGGTTTGCAGGATATCAGGCATTTCAACTACGATAAAAAGAAAAGCAGTGAACAAACATATAAAAGGAAACTAGAGGTTTTGGTAATTCCAAAAATAGCAGGTTTAACTCCCGCAAAGTTTATCGATGTTAGTAACCTTGTGATTCCTGAGAAGGTGAATTTAGCGGATCCGGAATTTTATAAACCAGGGAAAGTAAACCTGTTGCTCGGTGTGGAAGTTTTTATGATATGTTATGAGCTGGTAAAATCTATGTTCCTAACACAGGCTTGATATTACAAAATAGTGTGTTTGGATATATAGTTAGTGGAAATGTAAATGATTCACGGAGAAATAATTTATCGTATTGTGGGTTAATAAATGATAATTCAGAGAGTGAATTGAAAATGTTTTTCGAACTAGAATCATTAGGAATTAAAGATGTTCCTTACTGTCATGAGGAAGACAAAGCATTGGAAATATTTAATAAGACAGTTTGTTTTAAAGCTGGTCGCTACGAGGTTACTTTACCTTGGAAAAGGGACTAGAGGGAATTAGCTGATAATTACCAAGTAGCGGAAAATAGGTTAAAAACTCTTGCAAAGCGAATTAATTATGACAAAACACTGTTTTCTACATATAGTGAAATATTAGATGATTATCTCAAGCAAGGTATCATTGAGAGAACGACCAATGGAAATATACCTATCGGTAAACCAATATTTTACCTACCACACCAACCGGTATTTAGAGAAACCAGTGCTTCAACGAAGACTAGAATACTGTTTGATGGCAGCTCACATGAGTTCGGGCAGCTATCACTGAACGATTGTCTATGGACAGGAACAAATTTAAATCCCAATATGTTCCATCTGCTAATTAATTTCCGATTAAATAATGTTGCAATTTCAGCAGATGTAGAAAAAGCATTTTTGCAGATTGCTTTGGCAGAAAAGGATCAAGACGCAGTGCGATTCCTGTTTGTGGAAAACACACAATTAAATGATCTAAAACTAGCGACATATAGATTCAAACGCGTAAATTTTGGAATTAGGTCAAGTTCGTTTTTGTTGGCTGCAACAAATAAAGAACAAATTAGGAAATATCGAGATGAGCAGCCAGATGTATTTGAAATACAGTCAAAAGTCGTTAATTCGGACACCCATAATCCGGACCTCAAAGCTACAAACTTTCTGTGCACGCGTCGCGACCTTTATGCCTGCGAATTTGCGTGTGCGCGTGCGCAAAATACGTTTACGAATGCGCGTTTAATGTATAACGGACGGTATAAG